CTTCCTTCTCTGGTTTAAAACTGGCTTCTCTGGCTTGAGCCGAGGCCAGGACATTCCTTCCTTCTCTGGTTTAAAACTGGCTTCTCTGGCTTGAGCCGAGGCCAGGAAATACCTTCCTTCTCTGGTTTAAAACTGGCTTCTCTGGCTTGAGCCGAGGCCAGGAAATTCCTTCCTTCTCTGGTTTAAAACTGGCTTCTCTGGCTTGAGCCGAGGCCAGGAAATTCCTTCCTTCTCTGGTTTAAAACCGACTTCTCTGGCTTGAGCCGAGGCCAGGAAATTCCTTCCTTCTCTGGTTTAAAACTGGCTTCTCTGGCTTGAGCCGAGGCCGGGAAATTCCTTCCTTCTCTGGTTTAAAACTGACTTCTCTGGTTTGAGCCGAGGCCAGGAAATTCCTTCCTTCTCTGGTTTAAAACTGACTTCTCTGGCTTGAGCTGAGGCCAGGAAATTCCTTCCTTCTCTGGTTTAAAACTGACTTCTCTGGCTTGAGCTGAGGCCAGGGACCAGAAGCGGGGAAAAGCTGAATAATTTCCAAAAAGCTTCGGAAGGGCAAAGGGACTTCCGGTTTTCTTTAAAACTTCAAAATTGCTTCAAAAAGGTAATTTTCCAACTTTATTATGAATGACGAAGATTCCAATGGTACCTAAACATGCCTAATAAACAGCATTGCAGATGCAATCCTCTTTTACAGCCTTGCACTGTAAAACTGGATTGCATCTGCAATGCCATTTGTGTATGGAAATATGCAGTCTGGACTGTAAAGTTGTGCAAAGGTGCTCTTCAGTACAAGGAATGTATTGTATAACCAGTGTGTAAACTCTGCATGCAGAGGTTTAAGCGACGATCTTGGCTGTTGTCTTCTTTGGCAATGAAATGGGCTTATCTATATATATAAATTTGTTAGGGGCATCCAACGAGGAAACAAAACTCAAAAACCCCCAACGAAACTTAACCAAAATTCCCATGCCCATAACACAACCCACAAGGTACAAACATATCTACTCAAAATGAAAAACAACACAACAACACACTCAAAAAACGGCAAAATAACAAAACTCAAAAAAACCACGAAACTTAACCAAAATTCCCATGCTCATAACACAACCCACAAGGTACAAACATATTACTCAAAATGAAAAACAACACAACAACACACTCAAAACGGCAAAAAAACAAAACTCAAAAAAACCCCAACGAAACTTAACCAAAATTCCCATGCCCATAACACAACCCACAAGGTACAAACGTATCTACTCTAAATGAAAAACAACACAACAACACACTCACAAAACGGCAAAACAACTGAGCATGCGCATTGGCGCCCAGCCGCAAGTTCCCTGGCGCGCGCACATGCCCTTCCGGCCAACGTTCCCTCTGCGGAAACCATGCCCACTCCAAGCCCCGCCGCGCTGCTTCCCGCACACACACACACCCCTGCCGCACATACACACACAACCCCACACTCCATCACTCCCCCGCCGCCCGCCCCCCCCCCCGCCGCCGCACACACACACGCAACCCCACGCTCCATCACTCCCCCTGCCGCACGCACACACGCAACCCCACTCCCCCCGCCGCCGCACACACACACGCAACCCCACGCTCCATCACTCCCCCCGCCGCCGCACGCACACACGCAACCCCACTCCCCCGCCGCCGCACACACACACACAACCCCACGCTCCATCACTCCCCCCGCCACCGCACACACACACGCAACCCCACGCTCCATCACTCCCCGCCGCTGCACACACACACACAACCCCACGCTCCATCACTCCCCCCCCCCAATCTTACCTCCTTTTACTTCACGCCACCTCCAAACCCCACCCCGCCCCTTCCCCGCCCTGTCAAAATCTAGGAAAGACAGGAAGGAAGGAAAGAAGGAAGAAAGAGAAAGGGAGGTAAAGAAAAAGGGGGAAGGAAGGAAAGTTAGAGAAAGAAGGAAGAAGAAAAAGGAAAGAAAAGAGAGACAGCAGAAAAGAAAGAAAAAGGGGGAAGGAAGGAAAGAGATAGAGAAAGAAGAGGAGAAGGAAAGATGGGAGGGAAGGAAGGAAGGAAGGAGGGAAAGAAGGAGAGAAAGAGGGAAGATTGGCCACAGCAACACGTGGCGGGTAAAGGTTGTTATTTCTATTATTATTATTATTATTATTATTATTATTATTATTATTATGCTATTGTTCCTATGAGACCCTGGAGGAATGGGAGAGGTGTCAGGTCCCAGAGGCAATGCATTGTATTATTGTTATTGTTATGATGGTGGTAAAATAAAAGGAAATAAAAAGTGAAAGAAGGAAGCAAACAGGGAGGAAAGAAAGGCAAAGGAAGAAAGGGGGAGGGAATGAAGGAAAGAGAGAAGGATGAAACAAAGAAGGAAAGAAAGAAAGAGGTAGAGAAGGAAGAAAGGAGAGAAAGGGGGAGGAAAGGGGGAAAGGAATAGGTAGGGACCTCTCTTTCATAATAGTCCAGATATCTACCTCAACTGTGATAAGTTTTACTATAGGCCACAGCAACGCGTGGCAGGGCACAGCTAGTTCCCAAATAAATGTACTGGGCATCAGGTCAGCAAGTCAATGGCCTGCATTTCTCTTGTCAAGATGGCCTGAGGATGGAAACTGGTGTCTTTTTGAAAGGATTTTTGTTGTTGTTGTTGTTGTTGTTCTGACATATCAGGGATGTGGAAAAAGCCCAGAATGGGGTGTATAGCCGGAAGAGAGATCTTTCAGCTCTGCTGTGCTTCTGTATTCCTCCCTTTGTTCTCAGTTGCTTGGTTTCCTATTCTCCTCCACCACCCTTTCAGTGCTGCACCCAAATGCCAGGCTGGTTTCTGCCAAGACTGTGCTCATTCACAATTTAATCATAGATAAGAGGCCTAATGTGCAGGAATGTCATAGCTTGAAGTCTGATGTATGCATGTGTTGGTGGGTGGGTCTTTGCTAAAATACAAAACTGTACCTCTTAACCATTTCTCTTCTTTTCCCTTAATACAAAGAAAGCTCAATTACCAGTAATTTAGTATTTGTCATTAGGTACTACCACCTCCCCCCTGTATATGCATGTATGTAGGTATGTATGCATTGGATTTATTCCCCATCTTTCTCCCAGATTTGGATTTATGGTGGGTATAATTTTGATCTGGTCTTTGTAATCATTGATGGTTGTCAAGTAACCCCATTGTCAGACTCAGTCCACTTCCTGGTAAAGTTTAGACTTGTTCACACTAAACCAGCATTTCTCAACCCATGGGTCGGAACCCCTGGGGGAGGGGTTGCGAGGGGGTGTTAGAGGGGTCGCTAAAGACCATCAGAAAACACAGTATGTTCTGTTGGTCATGGGGGTTCTGTGTGTGAAAAGTCTGGCCCAATTCTATTGTTGGTGAGGTTCAGAATGCTCTTTGATTGTAGGTGAACTACAAATCTCAGCAATTACAACTTCCAAATGTCAAGATTTATTTTCACCCAAACACCAGTGTTCACATTTGGGCATACTCAGTATTCATGCCAGGTTTGGTCCACATCCATCATTGTTTGAGTCCACAGTGCTCTTGGGATGTAGGTGAACTACAACTCCAAAACTCAAGGTCAATGTCCACCAAACCCTTCCAGTATTTTCTGTAGGTTATGAGAGTTCTGTATGCCAAGTTTGGTTCAATTCTACCACACCACTGTTGGAGTTCAGAATGCTCTTTAAATTGTAGGTGAACTATAAATCCCAGCAACCACAACTCCCAAATTGCAAGGTCTATTTTTCCCAAACTCCTTATGGGTGGCCTTATGTTAGCCACCCTGAGTCCCCATTGGGGAGATGGTGGAGGGGTATAAATAAAGGCTATTATTATTGTTATTACTACTACTACTACTACTACTACTACTATTATTGACCTCAAGTCCTCCATTGAAATCAATGTCCCTCATTGGATAGAAGTCAGAGCATACCCTTTGGGGATAGGCAGTAGGTATCACTCTTCACATTAAGCTTCAATTTCTACCATCTCCAACCTAAAGAAAGAGGAAGGAAAAAATGTTGGCAAGTATGTAAACAGTGGCATCACTAAGGAGGGTACAGGAGGTGCAGACTGTACCAGTGACATCAACAGAAGGGTTTTCCAGTGTTTCAGCAGAAATGTATTATTTTAAAATAAAAATATCCCAGCTTTAGCTTACATGTACTATGTATTTATACGTACAAGGGTAAACTTCAATGTTCATGTACTGTTTGAACCTTCTAATTTGCATGTAATTTGGCCAGAGTTGTCATTACTACCCAATTATCACGATTCTTTGAATCTACATGTGCCACAAACATACAGTTTTCGTTGTTAGGTTTTTCTCCTATTTTAGCTATAGTATTGTGGTATGTTCTGTGGGGGTGATACCATGAGTTGCCACATTGGATTTTTTAAAATCATGTCAGAAGTGACTTGAGAAACTGCAAGTTGCTTCTGGTGTGAGAGAATTGGCTGTCTGCAGGGACATTCAAAGGGGATTTCTGGATGTATTATCATCCTGTGGGGGGCTTCTGTCATGTCCCCATATGAGAAGCTAGAACTGACAGATAAGAACTCACCCCGTCTTGCAGATTCAAACCGCCGACCTTCAGGTTAGCAGTCCAGCTGGCACAAGGTTTTAACCCATTGTGCCACCGCGGCTCCCTGCCACATCAGGTGACACCTACTCTGGTGTGAAACCCCTGAGGACTGGCTGTAACCCAGGGCTCCTTAAACTTTTTCCACTTGTGGCCTCTTTTCACTTGAGAAATTTCTATGTGTCATATGTTCTGCAGTTGATGGTGCTTGGTGATGGAAGGGTTAATGTAAGTATTAGTTCCAAAGGGTTTAGTAATCTATAAGTAAGAGTTCATGGGTGAAAGCAATTAAGGGTGGAGGTATACAAGAGAGGTTGCAGCTGGGTGTTTGTGGATATAAGGAGCGAGCCTTGGAAATGATCTTTGGGAGAAAAGTATTGTCATATTTTGATGGTGGATGCTGCTGGTTTTCCCCCCAGGTCTGTTGGATTTTCGGTATCCTGTAATCTTGAAACCCTGGAACCTTGAACCTTTGGACTGGCTTTTGACAACAGTATAGACTTTTGATCCCTGGACTTTGTTTATTGAACTCTCGGCGTTTGACCATTGGACTGGACCCTTCGACTACGGTGTAGCTTTTGCTATCAGTTTTTGTTTATTCTGTGACTGAGTGCTATCTTTATGTTTTATATTTTGGTCTATTAAAACAGCCAGCAAGTAAATGCTGTTTTAATTAAACTGTTTTATATCAAACTGGGTTTTTGTTTGATTCACCTCTTCTGGAAATTACAGCAGAGCCCTGGCAACGTGACAGTATGGGATCTCAGGTATATATGTATATAAAATAGGTATAAAATATAACAGTGATAATAAATCAGTTATTTATGAAGTACAGCTGAAGCATTTTCTGTAGAGTCCACTGTAAACACAGTACATTGTTGCTAACAGGTTTATATTCTGAAGCTACTTGGTGGTCTTCAGAACCCCCATGCCTTGAAGGGACTCTCTGGCGTGAACCTCCCTCCAGCCTTGCACACTCTCCCTCGCCCCACACACATGCACCATGCTGCCATGTGCCGGGCACACTTGCTCTCCCCTCCCCTGCTTGGAATCTCAGAAACAGCCCTCTCCTTGGTTGTGAGGTTGGCCAATCACAGTGGAGGAGGGCTTTTAGTGGGAGGATTCACCCCCTGTTTCCAAAAAGGAAGAGAAGGACTGGTGGTGAAATTTTCAGCATTCTCTGCCAAAAGGGTTCCTAAGACAATCAGAAATATATGTTTTCTGATGGTCTTTGGTGACCCCTCTAACACCCCCTCGTGAACCCCCACCCCCGGGGTCCCGAAGCCCATCTTGAGAAACATTGCATTATGTCTTTTGTGTTTTTGCTTTTCTTCAAGTTGAAATAATGAAGCATCATTCTACTTCCACTTTTTCAAAGTAAATATAAATATTTGAATTCTGCAGTAGGCAATCCATTTACAATTTCTCCCTCATCTTACAGAAAGCGCCACACCCTCAAAACAGGCATGTTCGTTGTGTGCCAAAGTAAAGTCCCATTCTTTAAAAAAAGATGCTAAAAAAGCAAAAAGCAAAAAAAAAAAAAGTTTAAAAATCCGAGAACAAACAAACCCCAAAGCAAAAAACTAAACCCACCTCAGTGATTCTGGAAATATCAAAGCAAGCATGTCAAAAAACATCCAACAGCAGAGAAATATGCTTAAGGCGAAAAAAAAAAAAGTAATAACAAGGAATAACTTATGATAAAAAAAATCCAACGCACACATGGACACGCACAAATGAAATAACCTGATCTCATCAGTTTTTGGCTCCTTGTTTTCTCCCATGCTCTGCCCTTAGGTTTTTTAAAAATTGGATTTTAGTCCGTGGAATAATCCTTTCATTTGAACAGCGGCACCGGAGGAGTCCTTTTGCGTCTTCGAGTGGCATAAATATTGAACACGGATGCCACCTCCTGATCAGCTTTGTGTGGTGCAAGTCCCTTTCCATTAGAAAGCGGTGTGCCACTTGTTCCGTTTTATATTATTACTATTGTTATTAATGGGGAATCTAGTCATATTTTGTATCCATCCAGAAGTATCCCTACTAAAGAGGAGGAAAGAAGGAAATCATTTAAAACCACAGCATCAAGCCAGGAAAAAATTAAAATGCAAGCACTAGCGCCCATGCTTAGAGATTTCCCAGGATCATGCGATATTAGGATAGTTTTGCCTTTATGGCAGGAGACTAGCCTTGGGGCAACGCTATGGGGGAACCAATAACAAGTATCACATTGTCCCACCGCAGAGGTGGTTGGAGCACCATATCGAGCACTGTATTGAATGCCCATTGGCTTCTTTATGCCGACGCTTTCCCTCATCCTGACTACCAACATTAGCCACCACTCGGATTCTCTCCTTACAAGGCACCTCATTCCCCATGATCCAGGAGGAGCCTTTTCATAGTTTCAGAGAACCACACTCTTTGCCACTTTTAGTCCACTTTCATGCGCTGACATGAAGAAAAAGAGTTTCTATTGGTTTCCTCATAGTCTCAGCAAGATGGACTTGAACCCAGTTGGAAGATGGCAAGTTGGCTCTTGGCTGTCTCTGCCAGTTTTGGTGCCATCTTCTCCCAAAGTGGCATCCGCTCAGGATGAGGTTGAGGATATGAAGTCTCTCACTTGGCCGCTTGAAGTCAACACATCCAAGTGAATATCTGTTCCCTGTTCTTCCCCACTTCTGAAGGCGAAAGGTGTTTGGCGGGGGCCACGTCCGAGTCATACGTGGGTCTGCATGCGTTGCTGGGCCGGCCGCCCATAGTCAGACTGTTGGGACAAGGAGGTATAGGAGAAGCGCGAGCAGCCGGAGGCCTTGCTGGCCTGGTCGGACTGCTCATACCCACTCTCCGCTTTCTCATAGTTGCTTGGTTTGACGTAACTTGTGAAAGCCCGGCTGTAAGGGGCAGTGAGGTAGGCAGCCCCACTGTACATGCTTTCCTGGGGGAAAAGCCGCTCGTGGGGGTCGTAGGCTGAGCGGGAACCAGGTGTGCCCAAGGTGTAACGGTGAGTATATTCGTACAGTTTGGGTTGCACTGGTCCCGCCGAAGGGTACAGAGAGGTCGCCCCAAACAAAGGCCGGGGGGCTGGCGTATATTCAGAGAAGCTGCTCCCCAAACATGGTTCTTCATGTGCACGGACCTTGTAGTAACCGTTGGTGGGATCCTAAGGCCAAAAAAAAAAAAGAACAAATGGCAGTCAAGTCAGACATAGGAAGAGCACGAGATTCTCTTTAACAGTGTGGTTAGTGCAGTGGTGCACAACTTGTGGCCCTCCACGCATTTGGACCTCCAACTCCAACTGCCAGAAGCACTAGCCAGCTTGTTTAATGGTCAGGAATTCTGGGAGCTGGGGGGGCCACAAGTTGTGCACCACTGTGTGCCATAGGGATGATGAATATGTGAATCTCCAGATGTTATACAACAACCCATCTTATGAATGGGTTGTTGTATGGCCATGTTCCTGAAGCATTCTCTCCTGATGTTTCACCTGCATCTATGGCATGCATCCTCAGAGGTTGTGAGGTCTGTTGGAAACTAAGAAAATGGGGTTTATATATCTATGGAACATGCAGGGTGGGAGAAATCACCTCCCAACAAAGGATTCCCCCAGGCAGTAAGAAGCCAGACCTTGAAACTGTCAAGCTTTCATGGCTGGAATCACTGGGTTATTGTGAGTTTTCCGGGCTGTATGGCTATGTTCCAGGAGCATTCTCTCCTGACGTTTCTCCTGCATCTATGGCAGCCATCCTCAGAGGTTGTGAGGTCTGTTGGAAACTAGGGAAGTGGGGTTTATATATCTGTGGAACATCCAGTGTGGGAGAAAGAACTCTCATATGTTTAAGGCAGATGTGAATGTTCCTGTTGGCCACCTTAATTAGCACTGAATGGCTTTGCAGCTTCAAGATCTGGCTGCTTACTGCCTGGGGGAATCCTTTGTTGGGAGGTGATTAGCTGGCCCTGATTGTTTCTTGTCTGGAATTCCCCTGTTTCTGAGTGTCCTTCTTTATTTACTGTTTTGATTTTAGGGTTAGTATACTGGTAATCAGTATTATAGCCTGAGGGGAGTTGCAGTTCCAACTTTTGAAGGGCCACACATTCCTCATCTCTATATAGCAGGCATGGGCAAACTTCGGCCCTCTGGGTGTTTTGGATTTCAACTCCCACAATTCCTAACAGCCTACCGGCTGTTAGGAATTGTGGGAGTTGAAGTCCAAAACACCCGGAGGGCCAAAGTTTGCCCATGCCTGCTCTATAACATGTTGAGTTAGCACACAGCATGTGCAGGTTCAAAGCTTATTGTCATGTTGTGCTTCTCGTTGTACAATCACCCTACCCCATTCATAGATTTTTTTACATCATCATAGTGTACTTAAGACCTTTCCACGCTTTCCAACCTCTTTTTTCCCAACTCTTTCCCCAGTAAAAGAAAGTTAAGGAGGAAATGATGGAATGGTCTCATTACGACTTTCGAACGGCAGGGCAATTTTGCACATCTGTAGTGCCATTACTCTAGTTTAACTGCCATAGCAGGACTTGCTATTCAGGGAAGGATAGTCACAATTTTCAGCGAGAGAGTTCTAGTGCCTCTCCCAACTAAAAATGCCAGGATTGTATAGGACCGAACCATGGCAGTTAAAAGTGGAATCATCGAGCATGCGGTGCGAGGAGCTCTTCATCTGCAATCAGCCCTAACTCTCAAACTGATTTACTCCAAGGAGGGAGAAGAAGGAGGGAGGCAGCATTCTGCAGTTAGAACAGCATTGGACTATCTATGTTCACTACTCTGAGATCCTTCGAGGATGAAAGGGGAAATATGTAAAGGATGCATGATAAAATGTTTGCTGCATGATGACGTTAAGCACATAATTAACATACAGAAGCAATCGGCAAATGGTATGGCAATGGCTGCTATCAGAGATGAATATGAAAAAAAATAGACTTATTCTCCAGGAAAGTAATGTATGAACAGAGATTTAACAATGGAACTTCCATATTCTGAAGAAGTGTATCAGATACCAGACACAAATAGTAGAAATCTGGCTCTCGCTATGTAACCTTCTTGCTTGCTTTTTAAAGGTATCTAAGGTTGTATTGTGAAAGGCTTTCATGGCCGTAATCACTGGGTTGTTGTGAGTTTTCCATGCTGTATGGCCATGTTTCAGAAGCATTCTCTCCTGACATTTCACCTGCATCTATGGCAGGCATCCTCGGAGCTTGTGAGATCTGTTGGAAACTAGGAAAATTGAGTTTATATATCTGTATAATGTCCAGGGTGGGAGAAAGAACTCTTGTTTATTTGAAGCAAGTGTGAATGTTGCAAATGACCACCTTGATTAGCATTTAATAGCTTAGCAGTTTCAAGGTCTGTCTTCTTACTGCCTGGGGGAATCCTTTGTTGGGAGGTAATTAGCTGGCCCTGATTGTTTCTTGTCTGGAATACCCCTGTTTCTGGGAGAACACAGAAATGCTGGACTACTCTAATAACTACCATGTCAGACAACACAGAGAAGCCACTGAAATCCACAAGCATGTGGACAATTTCGAAAGAAAGGAGGAAACCATGAAAATGAACAAAATCTGGCTACCAGTATTAAAAAAAACTCTAAAATCATAACAGTAAATAAAGAACAACATCCAGACAAGAAACAATTAGGGCTAGCTAATCACCTCCCAACAGAGGATTCCTCCAGCAGTAAGAAGCCAGATCTTGAAACTGCAAGGCTATTCAGTGCTAATCAAGGTGACCAGTTACAACATTCTCACCTATCTCAAACAGACAAGAGTTCTTTCTCCCACCCTGGACACTCCACAGATATGTAAACCCCACTTGCCTAGTTTCCAACAGACCTCACAACCTCCGAGGATGCCTGCCATAATAGCAGGCGAAATGTCAGGAGAGAATGCTTCTGGAACATGTCCATACAGTCCGGAAAACTCACAACAACCCAGTGTCTATGGTTGTTGTTTTTTGGATGGTGGGCAGTTTACAAATGACGGGACCTGTATGACAGAGCTGGTGGTGATATGGCCCTCTTGAAGCTGTTGGACTCCATTTCCCATCAGCCCCTACCAAAACTACACCTGGTGAAGGATGATGGGAGTAGCAGTTCATCAGTATTAGTCTGTAAAATCAGATCTTTTGAATGATTGAGAAAGCTTATAGTCTTGGGACACTCTAGGGGGCATTTTATGAGTGAGTTTTCTCTTGAAGCTGTTGGACTCCATTTCCCATCAGCCCCTACCAAAACTACACCTGTTGAAGGATGATGGGAGTAGCAGTTCATCAGTATTAGTCTGTAAAATCAGATCTTTTGAATGATTGAGAAAGCTTATAGTCTTGGGACACTCTAGGGGGCATTTTATGAGTGAGTTTTCTCTTGAAGTTGTTGGACTCCAGGTCCCATCAGTCCCTACCAAAACTGCACCTGGTGAAGGATGATGGGAGTAGCGGTTCATCAGTATTGGTCTGTAAAATCAGATCTTTTGAATGATTGAGAAAGTTTATAGTCTTGGGACACTCTAGGGGGCATTTTACGAGTGTGTTTTCTCTTGAAGTTGTTGGACTCCAGGTCCCATCAGTCCCTACCAAAACTGCACCTGGTGAAGGATGATGGGAGTCGCAGTTCATCAGTATTGGTCTGTAAAATCGGATCTTTTGTATGATTGAGAAGGTTTATAGTCTTAGGAAACTCTAGGGGGCATTTTACGAGTGTGTTTTCGAAAGCCCTTCAAACAGACCTTTGAGCATATCTATTCAAGATCTCTGTGTCTATAGCCAGAGGTTAGAAAAGTTCTCCTTTTGGATTTGTTTTCCCAGAATCCCTAAGCCAGCCAGCTCACTTTCCCAAGCTCTGAATGATTTCGATCAAAAGAAGCGAGGGCCAATGCGTGGTCAAGCCCTCCTTCACAGCTCCAGCTGAGCTCACCTTCAGCTCTTGGCTCCCTTCGTCATCCTCCAGGATTTCGCTGTGCTCAGTATGGGATGTAGCTGGAGATTCGCTGCTGGTGGCCTGGAGGTAGATGGAGGGGTGGGAGGGAGGGAAAGGTGAGCACCATACAGACAAAGCCTCTTGGCCCAGTGTGGGCTCGTTGGGTCCATTGGGGCCAAACTAGACGAGACCATGGAGATCCAGAATGGGATCTCCGTCTCTCTTATCCTGAAATTGTTCTTTTGTGGGGCAATGTATTGTGTGAATGGAAGATTGAGGGAGGAGGAATCAGCAGGCTTAGGGGAATTGCAGTGTTGGGAGAAGTGGAAAAACCTTCATATCTCTTCCCAGGTGGAGTCCCAATATAACTTAATAAAGATGGAGACTTCTTTGTGGCCAGAAGAATCCTGACTTGTAAGGCACTAGAAAATGAAAAACTGGGGGAAAGGAGAATTTATTTATTATTCATCTATTTACAATATTTATATATCGCTTTTCTCATCCCTGATGGGACTCAAAGCGGTTTACAAAAATTATGCCAAAATTCAATGCCTTACATACATGGAACTGGGCAGTTGTAACTCTAAACATGGCAACATTTCGGGATTGCAATGATTTTTGAAAACCATCCTTTCAACAGGATCTGCTAAAGCACTATTTCTCTCACTGTAAGCTGCCCTTCTCTCGCTTATGATACAATATTGGAAGACCTAACATAAAGAGACATAATGGTGCAAGTTTATCAAATTGGATTAAACCCCTGTGCCGACAGGACTGAAGACCGGCAGGTCGCAGGTTTGAATCCGGGGAGAGGCGGATGAGCTCCCTCTGTCAGCTCCAGCTCCTCATGCGGGGACATGAGAGAAGCCTCCCACAAGGATGATAAAAACATCAAAATCATCCGGGCGTCCCCTGGGCAACGTCCTTGCAGACGGCCAATTCTCTCACATCAGAAGCGACTTGCAGTTTCTCAAGTCACTCCCGACACAACAACAAAAAAAATCAAATTACAAACGGTCTGGAGAGATTTAACAGGTTTGTTCCTTTCTCATCATCTGTTTATTTTGATGTAATTTATTGTCGAAGGCTTTCATGGCCAGAATCACTGGGTTGTTGTAGGTTTTTCGGGCTGTATGGCCATGTTTTAGAAGCATTCTTTCCTGACGTTTTGCCTGCATCTATGGCAGGCATCCTCAGACCTCACAACCTTAGATGCAGGCAAAACGTCAGGAGAGAATGCTTCTAGAACATGGCCTACAACAAAAAACCTACAACAACCCATTTGATATAATTGTCAGTATGGTTTCTTTCTGGCAATTGAATGTTTGCCTTAAATGTTGGAAACTGCCCTGAGTCCCTTTGGGGAGATAGGACAGTATACAAATACAGATTATTATTATTATTATTATTATTATTATTATTATTATTATTATTATTATTCACCCTGTTAGAATAGTTATAAAAATAGTTCTATTGTGGCCGGGCTTAAGCACAGCAGGTTAACCACTAGCTGCAATCAATCTTGCCAACTGGAAGGGTTGGCAAGATTGATTGCAGCTAGTGGTTAACCTGCTGGGTCAGGGTGAGCTCCTTTAGCCCAGCTTTTGCCTATCTAGCAGTTGAAAACAAATGTGAGTAGATAAATAAGTACTGTGTTAAAGCGGAGAGGTATTTAGGCACAGCGTTTCTATCAGAAAAAGGAGGAAGTTTACAAACAAAGAAAGCTCTTAGACAGGGAGATGGAGCAACAACACCCTCCCATGGCCGGAACCAAGCACAGCCTCCAAGATACTGAAAGATGGGAAAGCCTATATATACCTCTATCTATTGCTGTTTACATGTTTTATCCATTGTTATGTTTATGCTGGCATCAAATTGTGCCTTTGTAAGCCGCCATGAGTCCCCCCTCGGGGGTTGAGAAGGACGGGGTAGAAATGTGCGAAATAATAATAATAATAATAATAATAATAATAATAATAATAATATTGTCTGTCTTGTCATTGTATAATCGGCAGTGAATGTTTGCCGTATATGTGTTTTGTGATCTGTCCTGAGTCCCCTTTGGGGTGAGAAGAGTGGAATAAAAATACTGTTCCTATTTCATTCTGCTAGAATAGTTATAAAAAATAGTTATATTGGGGCCGGGCTTTAGTACAGCAGGTTAACCAGCAGCTGCAATAAATCATGCCAACTGGAAGGTTGACAGTTTGAAGCCCAAGTCTGGGTAAGCTCCTGACCTTTAGCCCAGCTTCTGCCTACCTAGCAGTTCGAAAACAAATTTTAGTAGATAAATAGGTACCACATTAAAGTGAGATGGTATTTAGGCATGGTGTTTCAACTAGAAAAAAGGAGGAATACATTGTTTGGAGCAGATTTTCCCAGCCTCGTGCCATCCAGATGTTTTAGACAATAACTTACATGATCTTTCCACATCTGGCCAGAATGGGAGGTCCAAAATAATGAGAGGGTGCCAGATTAAGGATGGAAAGAAATATCTACCAGATTAAGGAGAGTAGATGTAGGAATACAATGGCTGCTAGCTTAGATGTCTTTCTTTTTAAATGTTAACAAAAATTTACTGGGGAACGAAGCAATAAGCCAGTGTGGGCACTATCTCTGAGGTCATATCATATCCTAATAATATTGAATTCATTCTACAAACAATGATCCCGCCACCTTTCAGATTCACATGCAAGAGGGGAATTATTAGGCTTAGCAATGCAGACAAAGCAAATGTTTGTAGACTTTTTAAAAAAGCCTTCAGGAAAACAAAAACACAACTCAATGAGCAAAGCTTGGAAAAGTAACTTTTGAGACTACAGTTAGCAGAATCCTTCAGCCAATAGGCCCATTGACTTGTGGGTTGGAAGGTCCTTTTCCCAAGCTCTGAAGACTAAGCATGGGCATGGAATGAGAGGCAGTCTGGGAAAGAGAAAGCCAAGGAGGAGATGAATGGAATGAAGCATCTTGGATTAGGACATGGCCTCCTGAAACCCGGAACTGCAGCATCCCACTCTGCAACATTTTGCTAGGAATCCCCTTTGCATTTAAAAAAAATAATATCATACACTGGTTGTCCACAGTTGGCATCCAAAAATTTGGAAGATCAATGGTTTTCTACCCAGGAAGGCAGCAGAATACTGTGTATGGGATATATGGAATGGTCGGTCATTTTGAGCAAAACACACTGGGCCGTTGGCTCGACTCACCATGGGCTCCTTGCCATCATCTTCTGTCTCGCTTGGCCTGCTGGGGCTACTCTCTGTCGTTGTGATCTGCACTAAGATGTCTGCCTTGGAGAGCTGTGTTCCGCGCTTGGCTGCAGGACAGACAGATGGACAGATATAGGCATTGAATGGCTCTCTCCGTTGTCTATGACTCCACATGCAGGGATGAAGGATGATGGCTTCAGACCCGGGAGATAGCTGGGCTTGTGTATGGATGTAGATACGAAGGTAATGAGGGAAGATGCACCCAACTCTCTCGTCGTTTTTGGAAAAAAAAAAGCCTAACACATAGCCTACAAAAGTAACTGGCTAAAGAACAGATTACTTAAAATTAAAACTAACAGACCAATGTACTATGAGTTATAACTGCACTCCTATTCTACATGTTTAACAGGGGTCTGGATGGAGAGGAATATCACATTATTCAAGTGTGGTTCATGCTGTGATTTGCTTCTGCTACATTCAGATATGTTTTTCTAGAAGTAACTCAAAACTAACCATTTTGGACTCCTTCAAGGACCAGAAAAGTATAAAAAAAACTATACATATTTATAACAATAGTGCAAAAGGATCAGTTCTGGGATCAACATTCCTTGACTAAGGATATGCTTAGGAGACATAGAATCATAGAGACCTCGTGGGCCTAGAAGCAGGAAAATCGCATTCAAAGCACCCCTGGCAGATGGCCATCCAGCATCTGTTTAAAAGCCTCCAAAGAAGGAGCTTCCACCACACTGCTGAACAGCTCTCACAGTCAGGAAGTATTTTCTAATGTTCAGGTGGAAACTCCTTTCCTGTAGTTTGAAGCCATTGCTCCATGTCCTAGTCTCCAGGGCAGCAAAAAAACAAGCTTGCTCCCTCCTCCCTATGACTTCCCCTCACATACTTATACATGACCCTCATCATGTCTCCTCTCAGCCTTCTCTTCTGCAGGCTAAACATGCCCAGCTCTTTAAGCCTCTCCTCTTAGGGATTGTTCTCCAGACCCTTGACCATTTTAGTCACCCTCCTCTGGACACATTCCAACTTATCAACATCTCAATTCAATTGCGGTGCCCAGAGTTGGACACAGTATTTCAGGTGTGGTCTGACCAAGTCAGAATAGAGGGGTAGCATGACTTAGAATCATAGAATCATAGAGTTGAAAGAGACCTCATGGGCCATCCAGTTCAACCCCCTGCCAAAGGAGCAGGAAAACTGCATTCAAAGCACCCCCGATAGATGGCCATCCACCCTCTGTTTAAAAGCTTCCAAAGAAGGAACCTCTACCACACTCCAGGGCAGAGAGTTCCACTGCTGAACAGCTCTCACAGTCAGGAAGTTGTCGAAGGCTTTCATGGCTGGAATCACTAGGTCCTTTGGGTTTTTTTCGGGCTATAGGGCCATGTTCTAGAGGCATTTCTCCTGACGTTTCGCCTGCATCTATGGCAAGCATCCTCACTACCTCTGAGGATGCTTGCCATAGATGCAGGCGAAACGTCAGGAGAAATGCCTCTAGAACATGGCCCTATAGCCCGAAAAAACCCACAAGAACCTAGTCAGGAAGTTCTTCCTAATGTTCAGATGGAATCTCCTTTCTTGTTGTCCTAGTCTCCAGGGCAGCAGAAAACAAGTTCGCTCCCTCCTCCCTATGACTTCCCCTCACATATTTATACATGGCTATCATGTCTCCTCTCAGCTTTCTCTTCTTCCCTGGACCTAGACACTATACTTTTGTTTATGCAGACCAAAATCCCATTGGCTTTTTTTGCTGTTGCATGACATTGTTGGCTCATGTTTAACTTGTTGTCCACGAGGACTCCAAGATCTTTTTCACACATACTGATGTTGAGCCAGGGGTCCCCCATTCTGTATGTTTGCATTTAATTTTTTTCTGCCTTTGGGCGTCATCACACAACAGAATGAATTCACTTTAAACCTGGTTGCTGCCTATTGCAGAATTCTGGGGTTTGTAGTTTAGGGAGGAGCCTTTAACAGCCTCCCTAAACTACAAACTCCAGAATTCTGCAAGAGGCAGAAACCAGATTTAAAGTGGATTCATTCTCTAGTGCGATGAAGTAGCAAGTGGAGTATCTTGCATTTGTCCCTGTTGAACTTCATTTTGTTAGTTTTGGCCTCTCTCTATAGTCTGTTAAGATCGTTTTGAATTCTGCTCCTGTCTTCTGGGGTATTGGCAATCCCTCCCAATTTGGTGTTGTCTGCAAACTTGATGATCGTGCCTTCTAACCTTTCATCTAAGTCATTAATAAAGATGCTGAACCGAACCGGGCTCAGGATGGAACCCTGCGGCATTCCACTCATCACTTCTTTCCAGGATGAAGACAAAGCACTGGTGAACACACCCTTTGGCTTCGCTTGCTTAGCCAATTAACATCTTGCTCTATAATTCTTTGTTCTGGTCTAGAAATGGTAAAGTTACTTTTTGGGCACTGAGTGCAACTTCCAGAACCCTCCAATCAGCATAGCCACTGGCCACACTGGTTGGGGGTTCAAGGAACTGCAGGGGAAAGAAAGCGGTTTCCAATCTCTGGTTTAATTTCACACTGTTTATATCTTATTGAGCAATCAACAATTTACTAGCTAACGACTGCGTAATTACTGGCTAGCTAATTAGTCTCCTGCCCCTTGTCTAATCTGCCTGGCAATAGTTCTCTAGGCTAAGAGGCTTTTTTCCAACATGGCTGGTCTCACATTATTAGGCAGAAGAAGACAACTACCCCCAGGCAGCAGATTTTGGATGTCACAAAAGACCAGCGTAATTGTGAGTGATTTAATTTGTCATTGTTGTATTTTTGGTGCCAGGAGTGGGAAGATATGCTTGTGGGATTTTCTGCCTCCTGTGCCAAAAGAATTTGGCTGTCTTTGGGTGCTATGCACCTTGACTTGAAAGCATATATATGTGTGTGTGGGCTCATTTGCTCTTCCGCCTCAAGCAACAAAATATCTTGAGCCAACCCTGTGTTCGGAAGCCTCTGAAATTGGGGAGACATTCGCAAAAAAAGAGCGGGGGCCAGAGGACAGTTCCATCTTGTCTCCTGCATATGTCATCAGTTGGGGACCCCTCCCTGCAGCACCAACTGTTGCACTGGGCCAGAGTGAAGAGAGAGGGGGCCAGGGGGACAGTTCCATCTTATCTCCTGTGCTATGCTAATAATATAATATAATATAATATAATATAATATAATATAATATAATATAATATATTGTATATATACAAATAATATTTATAATATTATAATGTAATACAATATAATAGTAATAATATGATATTATAATGAAGAGAGGCAGTTCCATCTTGCCTCCAGTGTCATCAATTGGGAGCCCCTCCCCCCCCATTCAGCACCAACCGCTGCTCTGAGATCAGAGTGAAGAGAGGGGACAGGAAGGCAGTTCCATCTTGTCTCCTGCACTGTGCTTATAATATAATATAATATAATATAATATAATATAATATAACGTAATATAATATATTGTATATACATATAATATTGATAATATTATAATGTAATACAATATAATACTACTAATAATAACATGATATTATAATTATATATTTAAATTAAATGTAATATTACTAATAATATTACAGTATAATGTTATAGTACAATGTAATATATAATATTAATAATGTGCTATGGTAATAATATAATATATTGTATTTACTTGTTACTTGTAAGCCGCTCTGAGTCCCCTTCGGGGTGAGAAGGGCGGCATATAAATGTCGTAAATAAACAAATAAACAAATAAATGTAATATTACTAATAATATTACAATATAATGGTATAGTACAATATAGTAATATATAATACTAATATTGTACTATACTAGCCGTCGCCTGCCATGCGTTGCTGTGGCCCTGTCTGGTGATTTGGAAAATAAAGTACTGAGAAAGTGTTGGTTTCTAATATATGTAATTTTTTATGCTTGTGGGTAAAGAATATTGCCTGTTGTTTCTTTGTCAGTGTTGATGTAAAGATTGTCTGGTTTGCCTAATCTGGAACATGCAACATATAATTGTCCTTCTTTAGGGGTCCCTTTCAAATCTATGATACTATATCCTTCATATACATATATGTGTGTGTGAATCATATATATCTATCTATATCTATGACTGGATGGCTCTTTGTCAGGAGGGCTTTGATTACGTTTTCTTGTCCTGGTGAAGGGAGTTGGACTGGATGGCCTTAAGTATGGGGGTTCTGTGTGGGAGGTTTGCCCCAATTCTGTCGTTCGTGGGGTTCAGAAGGCTCCCTGATTGTAGGTGAACTATAAATCCCAGTAATTACAACTCCCAAATGTCAAGGTCTATTTTCCCCAAACTCCATCTAAGTTCACATTTGGGCATATGGGGTATTTGTGCCAAGTTTGGTCCAGATCCATCATTGTTTTGAGTCCTCAGTGCTATCTAGATGTAGGTGAACTACAACTCTCAAACTCAAGGTCAATACCCACTAAACCCTTCTAGTGTTTTCTGTTGGTCAGGGGAATCCTGTATGCCAAGTTTGGTTCAATTCCATCGTTAGTGGAGTTCAGAATGCTCTTTGATTATAGGTGAGCTATAAATCCCAGCAACTACAACTCTCAAATGACAAAATCATAATGTTTTGAGTGATGGTCACTCCTTGTGTTGTAAGACGTTTTGTTGCTAAATTTGGTGTGATTTTGTTCATTAGTTCTTTTGTTTTTAAGGTACTCATTACACACAGAGCATTTAGGTCAGAGTTGATATAGGCCTGGGTAACAACGGAAAAATTTGTTTCTAAAATCGATTCGTTTTTTGGGGTTTTTTGCGTTTCGATATTTAAAAGAATTCCGAAATTTTTAAAAAAAGTTCGATATTTACGAAATTTCGTAAATGGTAAAAAAATTACAAAACAATAACGAAACAATAACGAATCGATTCGTTAATGGCGGACGCGACCGCGCAATACGCTAAAAAACCTCCAAATGGGACAGGGGGAACTTCTGAAGCTTCCCTCTCCCTCTGTTGTTGACTGTTGGTGTGATATTATAATTTTTTTCACTAATTAAACAAACAACAACTATAAAACTTGCCCCAGACATGCGGAAATAATAACAAAACGACCTCAAAAATAACGAAACGAATACATAACGAAATACGAAGCATTTACGAAATGAATTGAAAAATTCGTTTCGTTTTTAAGTTGCTCCAGAATGGTTCGTTATCGCTTCGTTAACAAAAAAATAACGAATTTTTAACGAATTACGAATTAACGAAACGAAACCGCCCAGCCCTACATACTATATATATATCTTGTAAGCTGCTCTGAGTCCACTTCGGGGTGAGAAGTGCGGCAAATAAATGTTGTAAATCAATAAATAACAAATAAATAAATATTCCAGGAAAGTTCTGCAGTGTGCCTTACGATGCTGCACTGTGGTCCCTCTTTGGTGGAGGCAGAGAAAACCCCTGCGGGGACCTGACCTCAACCCAGCAGCTCTACAGCCTCCCGCTCCTCCCCACTGCGTGCTGTTTCAGTGAGTGCACACATTGTCGGCTGCTTTGAAACACAGGGCACGTGCTTTGCTGCCATTGCAGAATTGCTAGGCTCCATTTAGCCCTCCAGGTGCACTTCTAATAGAGAAGAGCCTGCAAAACAGGGGGAGGAAGGAGCAGAGGGAACGGCAGGAGTCCTCACCTTTTCTGCAGTGCTTGCGCCGATAGCAGAGAGAGGCAAAGACAACCAGGATCAGGAGAGCAGCAACCCCAGAGGCCGACATGGCGCCCAAAATCATGACCGACCAGACCTCTGCAGGGACACAATTCATTGCTGGGTTATTGCAAATTCCTTTTATCCACTTTTTCTGTAAGCCTAGCCATCCTTCAAAGCATTTAGAGCAACTGACAATGGGTTTTATCCTGCTGCACCACCACCACATCCCTGCAGGACAGGTTACGCTGAGGGATGGTGATTTGCTCAAAAGAGCTGTTTGGTTTGAAGTGATTCATTTCAAATCTAGATCTCTCCACTCCAACTTTGGCAGAAACAGGGCAAGAGCAAGCATTCAATATATATATTGTATTGGCGAAGGCTTTCATGGCTGGAATCTCTAGGTTCTTGTGGGTTTTTTCGGGCTATACGGCCATGTTCTAGAGGCATTTCTCCTGACGTTTCGCCTGCATCTATGGCAAGCATCCTCAGAGGTAGTGAGGTCACTACCTCTGAGGATGCTTGCCATAGATGCAGGCGAAACGTCAGGAGAAATGCCTCTAGAACATGGCCCTCTAGCCCGAAAAAACCCACAAGAACCTAATATATATATATTGCAGGGATGGGAATCATATGGCCTGCAAAATGTTGTTGGACTCCAAATTCCAGGGACTGTAGTCGATGGTGAGGAATGCGGAGAGCTCTAGTCCAACAACATCTGGAGTGCCACATAATCCCCATCCCTGATACAAAGAATCATCTGTTCACATAGTGCTTTACATGAAATGAAAGTACAGGTCATTGCCCCAAGGGTTTAAAATCATATGGAAAACATAATAGAAAAGGGTGTTGGGATTTTTTTTTTCGTGTCCAGAACAACTTGTGAAACTACAAGTCACTTCTGGTATGAGGTAATTGGCCGTCTGCAAGAACATTGCCCAGGGGACACCAACCTGTGGGAGGCTTCTCTCATGTCCCCGCATGGGAAACTGGAGCTGACAGACGGGAGCTCACCTGCTCCCTGGATTCAAACAGAAGGGATGTCTGAATGTTTTCGCATCCTATGGGAGGCTTCTCTCATGTTCCTGCATGAGAAATTGGATCTAACAGATTGGAGCTTGCCTGCTCCCTGGATTCAAATAGAAGGGATGTCCGAATGTTTTACCATCCTATGGGAGGCTTCTCTCATGTCCCCGCATGAGAAGCTGGAGCTGACAGATGGGAGCTCATCCCGCTCCCTGGATTCAATCTAAGGGGCGCCCTGATGTTTTACTATCCTATAGGAAGCTTCTCTCACAACCCCACATGAAAAGCTGGAGCTGACAGATGGGAGCTCAACCTACTCTCCGGATTCAAACCACCAACCTTTCAGTCAGCAGTCCTGCCAGCACAACGGTTTAACCCATTGCGCCGCCGGGAGCTTCTACTGGGATTTAAAACTGGAGAAGAATATTCTACAATTTCAGTACATGTCCACAGGCTTTGTAACATTAAATTATTGGATCTTGGACAATCTTATCCAACTGCTGCCCCTGTTGGAGACTGATGACCTTTTCATTATCTCCAGTTGGCATCTGGATGATGGAGGTTGTCATCAGAGAAAACTGCCGGCATAAGCGTTTAACCCACTGTGCCACCGGGGGCTCCTGAAGATCAACAGGTTGGAAGTTCGAATCCAGGGAGAGTGTGGATGAGCTCCCTCTGTCAGCTCCAGCTCCCTATGCAGGGACATGAGAGAAGCCTCCCACAAGGCTGGTAAAACATCAAAATATCTGGGCATCCCCTGGGCAACGTCCTTGCAGACAGCCAATTCTCTCACACCAGAAGTGACTTGCATTTTCTCAAGTCACTCCTGACATGAAAAAAAAATCAGAGAAAACTGGAAAGCACCAGGATGAGAAAGATGAAAAAAATGAAGGACATCTCAAAGGCTCCTGAGAAAATATTTTGGGAGCCTCACCTTGTCGGCGCAGGCTGACTGCGGCAGAGCGGGCACCAAAGCGGTTCCAAGCTGTGCAATTGTAGGGGAGCGCAAAATCGTCGTCATGCGTCGGGTCAATCAGCAAAGCCGAGAGCACCCCTTGGTCCGTCACCACGGTGTCCACTGTGAAACGGTCCAATGAGCCGGCATCCAGGACTCGCTCGCCCCATGCCCAGGCCTGTTACAAGGGGAAGGAAGGAAAGGGAATCAGGATCACTTTGCCAGATGGGAGACGCCTGAAGGGTGAATAACATCCAGCTGGTACATATGTGACAGCTGCCATACGGAGGCACCTTTAAAACAGCCACACAACTTGTGACATTACCCACCACGAGGTTGGCTTATTATGTGCAGGAGGAATTCACTGTGCAAAAAAAACTGCTTATTTTCTCCATGCTACTGCAGATTCTTTATGCCTGTTTGCAGTCCGGGTGCAGAAATAATAATAATAATTATCGTCAGATCTGCATAGTCAGCTGCAGCCTACAAATAGCTCACCAGATGTTAACAAGCACCTCGTGGCATGATTGAAAAGCTTCACGTTATGTGCCGACCCTTCTCTGACCATTCTGACATGGCAGGAGCAAAGTCAGCAGGCTTTTGCTGCAGCGTGCAAACATTTCTTGCTTGTATCGTTCGGCTGCCTTTTTCAGAATGTCATTTTTTACCAGCATCTCATAAACTTTTGAGGCATGGTGCCAGAGGTGGCAAAAGCAACTCACATCATGCCCCAGCCAACATGGACATCATCTGTTCTGATTTGGGGAGCTGGAGTTCCAAAAATAATTTGCCAGGCTCTGCACAGCACTACATTTCACTGTTTAAAAAGCATTTCTGCATACAGTCCTAACAGATTGCTATCCAGGATGTACTGTGCAAGGAAACAGATTTCAACCTCTCTTTGCTTTGCTGTTTTCTCGGGGGCTAAATCGCATTTCTACATTAAACATTTAATGTCCAGCTGAGTCTAAATTCCTTCCTTACTCAATAGATGAGCTCATCTCAGCCTGATCTGGACTGAAACCAACATATATGAGTTGAGGAAGCTGAATCTCTTTTTTGAAAAGGGTCAGTATGGGGTAGTGGTTTGAGCACTGCTCTAGAGAACAGGGTTCAAATCCCTGCTCAGCCATAGAAACCCACAGAGGCCCCATCTACACTGCCATATAATCCAGTTTCAGAATGCAGATTAAGTACATTGAACTGGATTATATGACAGCGTAAATTCATATAACCAATGCAGTTCAATTTGCATTATAGGAATCTACGGCGACCATTATAATGCAGTTCAAACAGGGACTTTGTCCTGCATCAATAGGAGTCTAGTGTCTACATCCAGGGAAGTCATGCTACCCCTCTATTCTGCTTTTCTCAGACCACACCTGGAATACTGTATCCAATTCTGGGCTCCACAATTGAAGTAAGATATTGACAAGCTGGAATGTGTCCATGGGAGGGTGACTAAAATGATCAAGGGTCTGGAGTACAAGCCCTATGAGGAGTGGCTTAAAGAGCTGGGCATGTTTAGCCTGAAGAAGATAAGGCTGCAAGGAGACATGATGACCATGTATAAATATGTGAAGAAAAGTCATAGGAAGGAGGGAACAAGCTTGTGTTCTGCTGATCTGGAGATTAGGATGCGGAACTAAAGCCATTGTTCCGCAACTACAGGAAAGGAGATTCCACTTGAACATTTGGAAGAGCTTTCTAACTGCGAGAGCTGTTCAGCAGTGGAACTCTCTGCCCCGGAGTGTGGTGGAGGCTCCTTCTTTGGAGGCTCTTAAACAGAGGCTGGATGGCCATCTGTTGGGAGTGCGTTGAATGCGATTTTCCTGCTTCTTGGCAGGGGGTTGGACAGGATGGCTCACAAAGTCTCTTCCAACTCTATGATTCTAGGATTCTATATGGCAACTTAGGGCTCTTCCAGACAGGCCCAAACATGCGGGGCAAGCCGGTAGAACTCAAGGAGTTCCTTAATGGTGGCCGGGTAAGTTGTTTTAAAATTTAAGGGCTTATTTGGGGGGTTTTTGGGTGTCTGGTTGCCATCCCAATAACTTCTAGACACACTGACGGGAAAGCCTGGGTTTGGTGACAAAAACCCATGCTGAAGCGGATTTTTAAAACCCACTTCAGTATAGGTTTTGCCTCTGTCTGGAAGCATCCATTGATAGGGCCTGAGTGATACTGGACAGATCACACACTCTCATTCTCAGAGGAAGGCAAAAACAAACCTCTGCTGAATAAATCTTGCCAAAAAAAACCCATAATAGGTTTGCTTTAGAATTGCTGTAAGTCAGAAACAACAAACATTATCTTAGTGTAAAGGTAAAGGTTTGCCCTGACATGAAGTCTAGTCATGTCCGACTCTGGGGGATGGTGCTCATCTCCATTTCTAAGCCGAAGAGCCGGCGTTGCCCATAGACACCTTCAAGGTCATGTGGCTGGCATGCCTGCATAGAGCACTCTTACCTTCTGTTAGGCCCAGCTTCTGCTAGGTTGGCAGAAGCTGGGCCTAACAGCGGGAGCTCACCTCACTCCCTGGATTCGAACCAACAACCTTTCGGTCAGCAAGTTCAGCAGCTCAGCAGTTTAACCCGCTGCACCACTGGGGGACCCTAGTGTATTTTAGTGTATGTAGGAGAATATCTATTTGAAAAATAACTAGGGAAAGAGAGATTACACCTCTGCACATGATGCCTCTGATCTGGGCTTGGCTCAGGCATGTTTACTTTGGAGTAAGAAAGAAAAGGAGTTTAGCTTCATATTACATTATTGATGCACTGTGCAGTTTAGCCCTCTGTTATAAATGGTAATCCCTTTCCTGAAACTAGCTGCCTGGGAGATTCTCCCCACAAGGGCCTTTTTATGGCCTCTATTTTGTGGGATGAGAAGATTCAACCAGAGAAAGAACACAGAAAAGAAAGGTTAATCTCCTAAAGCTCTATAGCCTTCATCCATATCAAGTTGCCTTTATGACTTGAAAAAAAAAAAAGGACAGGACTAATTACAAATCTTCTGTTGTCTCATCTAGTTTGTTTGGAAAAAAATTAGAGCCCAGAACGGTGTGTTCTCTCAGCTGAAAATGTCAAAATTCTGGGCCAAGAAAAGCTGAATTCAGCAACACATATACATTCCGCAAATCTAGCAACTCTACACAGATAGTTATTTCTTCATTTTGTCCGTTCCAGTCTCGCCCTGTTGATTTTAGGGAGGGAAAAAGAGAAATTCTCTTGGTAAAGGCCAACCCCACCCCCTACTATACGGTGCTCTGCATTTTCCCCAGAGCCACCTTAAACCCACCCCGTGAAGCTATGTTTGGAATGTGGAGAAAACCTTTGTTCTCATCTAGCACTCCCTGAATAAATTGGATCGGAACCCTTGTCATCCCCAATAGCCGAATGGGAGTTGTGGCAGAACACATTTGGAGGGCACCAGAATGGCAAAAGGATACAACGAGGAGTTGTCACTCCATTTCTCAAAAAGGAGTTTGACAATTTCTGGAGGGTGAGATGCTATTAATGGTGCTTAGAGACAATGGCATAAGGCATACACTCCAAGCTCAGCGACTGTGTACCTTGGAAAACAAAAGTCTGAAGTGCAAACTGTTGGAATTCAACTCCACACTGCCCAAGTCTCAAGTCCTCAACAAGGAGCAAATTAGTTAGCTTAGTATAGATTAAGGGTTTCCCTTTCCCCATGTCTCCTGAATGACAGTTGGAAAGGTATCTTTTTCTTCTCTCTTTACTCTCATTCTGATTTGGTTGTTTACAATGGATACTTTTCTACTGCAAGCTTTTTTGAATATGACTTCTGTCTTCTTACGCATTAGTATGGAGAGTATGTTCTGTGTGCTTTGAGATCTCTCTCTGCTTGTGTGTCAGAGAGATGTAGTGATTGAGTTTTTTTCCTCTCTTGAAACTTTAGAAGAGATGGGTATTAGAGTAGCTCAGACCCAGTTCTTGATTATTAAGAAATGCAGTTATTTCTTATTATTGTAATAAACCTTCTGTGATTTTTTAAGATTGGACTCTTACATGTTTGCCTCCTAAGCTCTGAATTCTTTACAGCCACATCACGCTCTGCTTGCTAATGAGCTGAATGCTCAGCTTTTGTATCCTGTTTGTTTTTGGATGCTCTGCTATATGTTTTAGGGTAGTTTTCCCTGCCACAAACAATATTTAAATGATAACGGCATTTAGACGTCAATAGAAAGAGGATTATTTCTTATTTTTGTAAATAAATTTTGTGATTTTTTTAAAGATTGGACTCTTGCATGTTTGCCTCCCAAGATCTGAATTCTTTATAGCCATATCACACGGCACTTCATGCTCTGCTCGTTAATGAGCTGAATGCTCAACTTTTGTATCCTGTTTGTTTTTGGATGCTCTGCTATATATTTTAAGGTAGTTTTCCCTAACACAAACAATATTCAGATGATAATGGCATTTAGGCATCAATAGAAAGAGTACATTGTTATTTCTTATTTTTGTAAATAAACCTTTTGTAATTTTTTAAGATTGGACTCTTGCATGTTTGCCTCCTAAGCTCTGAATTCTTTATAGCCATATCACACGGCATTTCATGCTCTGCTTGTTAATGAGCTGAATGCTCAACTTTTGTATCCTGTTTGTTTTTGGATGCTCTGCTATATATTTCAAGGTAGTTTTCCCTAACACAAACAATATTCAGATGATAATGCCACTTAGACGCCAAAAGAAAGCGTACATTATTCAGCTTTGCTTTTGTTCTTAAGGATGCCTTATTTACCATGTACTATCATTTTACTTTTTAGTCAACACATGGCCCTCCAGATGTTGTTGGGCTGTACCTGTCACCAAGATAGTCAGTTACAAGGAATCATAGGAGTCACACTCCAACAGCATCTGGAAGGCCACACACTGCCTGTTCCTGTTTTAATTTGATGTAGCAACTGTTTTTACAATGGAAAGGCAGGTAGGAAATACCTGTTATACATGCTACTGTTCATACTGTAATAAAATTGGAAGAATATACCTTTTTGTCCTAGTGTTGGCCACAGAACTGAAAAAGGATGCACATTTTGATCACAGGTATTATATAGGATGCATGCATATACTATACTATTTATGCATTAAAGATTAGAAACTTGATGTATTTTAGACTAGAACCTGCATTCCCCTAACTGTTGAACTCTACAGCCAATGTTGACAACCAAGCTTGGATGACACTATTATGAAAGACCAGGTTAAAACAAGAGGAAGAGCTTTTTGCACAAAGCAGTACAACGAACACTCACAATCCGGTCAGGGGGAGGGCTGCTTCCCACTAAGCACTCCAGCCGTGCCTTGGCACCCACTGTAGTCTGCTGGCTGGGCCCTGCGCTGATGATGGGAGGACCTGGAAACAGAAATGCTGTCAACACACAATCTAAAAGACATATGCCACTCCTCCCACCTGCCCCAGCTAGGCTTGGAAAGATACGACCAGGTCCATGGCTTAGGTGACTGCCTGGCAGAGTGTCAGATGATGGGGCTTGTGGATTCATTACTTTAAGCCCTGAATCACAAATCCCCTACTACAGCAGAGTCTCGCTTATCTGACTTTAGGTTATCCGACATTCTGTCTTATCCAACACTCTTATCTGACCCCCCCCTTTTCCTCTAGCATTTCCCCTTCAATTAAAGGAGCACTCCCAAACTCTCTTTCCATTCCCAATAAGTGAAAAAGTCAAGACGAGGAGGAAGAAGAGGAGGAAGGAAAGGGGGGAAAGAAGCAGGACCAGAAGTGGAAGCGTCCTCCCTCCTTCCCTCTGTGATTTCCATGCTCCTCTTCCGCCTCCAAGCACTTCCTGCTGGGTCACTCTAGCCCTAAGGTGCTGCTTGCTTTAACCCTGTTGTTAGTATTCTAGGTGTCCAACACCACATTGGATAGGTAACAGGAGACTCCGTATTATCCGACATTTTTGTTTATCCGACATTCTGTCAGACTGTTTATGTCGGATAAGCGAGACTCTACTTAAGACTCTACTCTTATGTCGGATAAGCGAGACTCTACCCCATGATGCCACAAAGAGGCTGTCTTGTCAACCCCACTGCAGCAGCCTCAAGGGAACCCTGGGCCCCTTACCGTTCACAGCCAGTGCCACCTCCTTCTCAGCCACTCCGATGCGTGGCACGATAGCTTTGCAGACGTAAATGCCGGCATCCTCCTGTGTCACTGCTTTGAGGTGCAATGTGTTGCCATTGCTCAGCACCTGCTGGTACACAGAGTCTTGGTTGTGACTCTCTTTGAAAACTGAGGGAATTTCCTGCCTGACTCTTTTCAGACAAAGTGGGGTCAAGAGAGAAAAGGAACTTCTCAATGAGGATGGTGTTGATTCTGGTCCGAGCTGGGGAAAATGAAATTTCGGACTACAATCGTCCCTTGTGGATTTCATGAAGGGGACCTCTGGTTCTCCCTTCCCCTAAACACTGAACTCTCACTCTGTACAGACAAATGATGTTTGGGTATGGAAGTGGATGGTACACCTAGCTTATTTTTATTTTGGTCAAGATTAGAAAGCATTACTTTAAAAAACTACACACTCCAAACTCTCCTAGCCCATATGGCTGATGGCCAAATGGGCTGGAGAACTCTGGAGCTGTGGTCCAAAAAAGATAATAATTGATTTTTATTATCTCAGATCTGTTATGGTTTGCAAGGTACAACTGGATAGAGATTAGAAGTGTGGATGTCTAGCTCACTAGATACTTGTTCCTGTTCCTTTAATTACTATAATATTTTTTGTCAAACATTGGCAGTTTACTTACAACACTAGATCCCTTCTTAGTCCAGGCCAAAGTAAGCGGTGGATTCCCAGTCCAGGTACAAGTGAAAGACGCATCTGAGCCAATATCTACTGTTAAAGGCTTGGGTTGAGAGATAAGGCGAGGTCCAACTGTGGGAAAACATTAGGAGGGAAGGGGTGTTTCTGAGCGTTACCAGAGTGGAATATCCAAGAAACAGTTCTACAAAGGAATCAGGAAGCTCCTGTCCCCATTTGTTCACACCTCACCTCTGCCATTGATACATTAGGTCATTCTCGTCTTGTGACAATCTCTCAGCCTCAGTCCCCCTTCTATAAGGTAAAGGTTTCCCCTGACATTAAGAATAGTCATGTCCAACTCTGAGGAGTGGTGACAATCTCCATTTCTAAGCTGAAGAGCCGGCATTGTCCATAGACACCTCCAAGGTCATGTGGCTGGTATGATTACATGGAGCGCCGTTACCTTCCTGCAGAAGCAGTACCTATTAATCTACTCACATTTGCATGTTTTTGAACTGCTAGGTTGGAAGAAACTGGGTAACAGTGGGAGCTCACCCCACTCCTAGGATTTGAACTGCCGACCTTTTGGTCAGTAAGTTCAGCAGCTCAGCGGTTTAACCCGCTGCACCACCAGTGGCCCTTTCTATGACATAGGGATATATTCCAGTGAGGAAACAGACAGAGCAGCAATACTGTAAAGGTGTGAGAGAGAATGTATCTAAAGTACTCTGAACACAATTATGCAAATAGAGATGACGCGAAAATAGAAACTTAAGGTGTCTGACCAAACCTGGCCTGAATAATGGGCAGCATTGCTGAGGCAGGAGCAGCAGCTCATGGTCAGCCAATGGTTATGTTCTCAGTTCTGATCATGAAGTCTCAGTCTTAGAACCTTGGAGGCTTTGGCCTACAACTCCAGCCAACATAGTCGTAGGTTAGGCTGACTGAGGTATTGTGGAAGTTATGGCCTCAAAACGTAACTTCTCCAAGCTATGGGTCATTTTCTTTATTTTGATCTTATCCCTTCAAATAGCAATGCTAGTGATTAAACTGGAAATCATCTGCATAGAAAGCAGGGGTGGGAATTGCACAGCTTTCCAGGTATTATTGGACTGAAACTCACAGAATTCCCAGCATTCCTGCTGGGATATACAGCCCAACAATGTCTACAGGGCTGCAAAATTCCTTCCCTGAGATAAAGTACATTCCCCACATATCTCAGGATCTGAAATCCATTTTGCTCAATACTCACAATGCACATCTACCAGCGTACTGACGTTGGTGCTGCCCACAGAGTTTGACACCTCACATGACACAGGCTCGGTGAAGAAGGACTGGTCAACTGTTGCCTCGTAACTATCACCATTGGCCTCTGAAATTGGCACACCTCCTTTGGCCCACCTGTGAAAGTAGGGATGGTTTCAGGAGAGTGGGAGAACCTCATAATATGAGCCTCTCCCCTGTTCTTGGTCTTAACATATACGCATGCAATATCCAGTATTGTCATTAGGGGGCACCCTGGACACATCACTGATTCTTCCTGATTTTCATGTGGTAGGATTTCCTATTCTAACTCTTACCTGTACCCAGTCACTTCAGGGTTGGAAGTGGCTGTGCAGAGGAAGCTCACTTTGCCACCCTCAGGGACAGTTTGTGGTTGCACAGACAGGATTACAACAGGCGGATCTGAAAAACAGAGAAGAATAGATAAAAGCCTAATAGGAAGAAGTCAATGATATAGTAAAGAGCTGCCTCCTTCTCAAGCCCAGCCTTTCATATATTCAAACTTCCTATTTAAGATCCCTTTCCCAATGAGAAAGCTGCCATCAGCACTGGCAGCTATCTCTATTTAATGAAGCCCCAAGTTGACTTGGATCCCTTCGTGTCCATTTCTGCATCTCCCTAGGAAACACAACCTACAAACTATCTACAGACCCACTAAGAAAATCCAGCAAAGGACAAAAGGGATCTTTTAACCTCTGCAGGAGTCTACCATACATCATGCAGCTGTGGACAAGTCTACATAAGGACCACCAAGCACAGCATTGCCCAAACACGCATCAAGGAACATGAAAGGCACTGCAGACTACTTGAGCCGGAGAAGTCAGCCATAGCAGAGCACTTGATGAACCAACCTGGACACAGCATATTATTTGAGAGCACAGAAATGCTGGACCACTCTCACAACCACCATGTCAGACTACACAGAGAAGAACCTGAAATCCATAAGCATGTAGACAATTTCAACAGAAAGGAAGAAACCATGAAAATGAACAAAATCTGGTTACCAGTATAAAAAAACTCTAAAATCATAGCAGTAAATAAAGAACACTCAAAAACGGGAACTCCAGGCAAGAAACAATCAGGGGCAGCTAATCACCCCTCAACAAAGGATTCCTCCAGGCAGTAAGATGCCACACCTGAAACTGCCAGGACATTACATGCTAATCAAGGTGGCCAACAGAAACATTAACACCTACCTCAAACAGACAAGAGTTCTTTCCCCCACCCTGGACATTCCACAGATAGATAAACCCCACTTTCCTAGTTTCCAACAGACCTCACTACCTCTGAGGATACCTGACATAGATGCTGGCGAAACGGCAGGGGAGAATGCTTCTGGAACATGGCTATACAGCCCAGAAAACACACAACAATCCAGTGATTCCAGCCATGAAAGCCTTCGGCAATATAGCTCCCTAGATACCTTGTTACCTACCTACTTACCTATCTACCAATTAGGTCTCCTCTAGAATTAACTAGGCTTATAATGCCGAAAGATTAGGAAGCTACAATTTCACACAGTTTGCCCCTCCAGGTTTCCTGTTCTTCCTTAGCCATGCAGATGCCACATTTTTAGGAGCCTGGAGCTGAAGCAACCTACAGAGAATACTGCTTATGCAGCAAAAAGCAGCTCCAGTGGTCTAGGCCCATGACAACTCTTCTAGTGTATTTTGCAAAAAGAACAGGCAGAGTATCTATATATAGCATGTTTGCATGTCAAGCTATCTATCTATGGTTAAAAAATAGTACAGTTTGCACACCTAAATACTGTCCTTGATGTTCACACTTCTAAACCACTCTCTGAGTGACCTTGGCCGAGTCATGAACTCGACCTATTCTGAGGAATGGGATGACTTCACTTTCCACAGGTGAATAGAGGTCCCCACCTGTACCTTCATGTCAACATCATAAAGACATTATCATCCAATAGTGCTAGGAGCCCCGGAGATGCAATGGGTTAAACCAGTGTTTCTCAACCTAGGGGTTGGGTCCCCTGGGGGGTGTTGTGAAGGGGTTTCAGTGGGGTCAACAAAGACCATCAGAAAACACAGTATTTTCTGTTGGTTATGGGGGTTCTGTGTGGAAAGTTTGGAAAAATTATATCGTTTGAGTTCAGAATGCTCTTTGATTGTAGGTGAACTATAAATCCCAGCAACTATAACTCCCAAATGGCAAGGTCTATTTTCCCCAAACTCCACCAGTGTTCACATTTGGGCATATTGAATATTTTTGCCAAGTTTGGTCCAGATCTATCATTGTTTGAGTCTACAGTGCTCTTTGGATGTGGGTGAACTACCACTCCAAAACTCAAGGTGAATGCCCACCAAACCCTTCCAGTATTTTCCGTTAGTCATGGGAATTCTGTGTGCCAAGTTTGGATTTGAATCCATCATTGGTGGAGTTCAGAATGCTCTTTGATTGTAGGTGAACTATAAATCCCAGCAACTATAACTCCCAAATGACAAAATCAATCCCCCCCAACTCCACCAGTATTCAAATTTGAGTGTATTAGGTATTGATGCCAATTTGGCCCAATGAATGAAAATACATCCTGCGTATCAGATATTTATGTTACAATTCATAACAGTAGCAAAATTACAGTTATGAAGTAGCAATGACTAATTAGTGGGCTGTTTATGTAGCATTAATAATGCTGTATCTATTTGGTTTTACCTGGTTTTTAATTATGCAGGTGTGAATCCATACAGTATGTAGTAATTTATGGGTGCATCTCACCATCAATATATGTAGCATTTTATTGATTTATAAGATTTTAATTGTGTATTTTATATTGTATTCAATAATCCAGTTTTCATGTATTTATCTGTTTGCCTTATATGTGAAAGACCTATGGTCTAAGCATCGAATAAACTTGACTTGACACAAGTAGCAATGAAAATAATGTTATGGTTGGGGGTCAACACAACATGAGGAACTGTATTAAAGGGTTGCGGCATTAGAAAGGTTGGGAACTACTGGGTTAAATCCTTGTGCTGGCAGGACTGCTGACTGCAAGGTCGGCGGTTCAAATCCAGGTTGTGGGGTGAGCTCCTGTCTGTCAGCTCCAGCTTCTCATGTAAGGACATGAGAGAAGCCTCCCACAGGATGGCATCTCCTGGGCAATGTCCTTGCAGATGGCCAATTCTCTCACACCAGAAGCGACTTGCAATTCTCAAGTCGCTCCTCACACACACACACACACAAAATCCAATGGTACTGCCTATCCTGCATGCGCCGAAAAGCTACCCACAATAGCTGCCAACTTTGTTCCCTCTCCAGACACGCCTCCTTCTCCCAATCCAAAGACTTACATTGCACATTGAGGGTGACTGTGGTCTGCTTTCCAGCTGGGGCTGCTGGGTTGCTCACTCGGCAAGTAAAGGAGCTGCCCATGTCCCGGCTGCTTGGAGTCAGGAGAAGGGTGCTGACAGCCACTTCTCGCTTGCCGTCATCCATCAAGGCCTGCAAAGGAAAGCACAAAGGCATTGTGTGCTTAATACAAGAGTGAGACATGTCAAGCTTAATACAAGAGTGAGACATGTCAAGATGGGAAGCTCAGACAGACTGAGCTTCCCATCCCTGCTCACCAAAAAGTCCCCGTTTCTCAATCCTTTGAGACCCTGGCTTTGCTGCATGGTTCTCCTGTAATATTTAGGCATACCCAGCCTACTTTTGGTTCTCATTCTTTGCTGGCTTGGTCTTGCCAGTACTCACACACCTTACCTTAGAATACACAGTAGAGTCTTGCCGCTGCCCGTCACGGTACCAGCTAATCTCAGCAGCTGGCTTGGCACCGGCAGCGCGACAGGACAGGTTGTAGGGAATGTTGGAGATCACATGGACGACTGGACCATTGTGGATCTCAGGATCATTGGGAGGAACTGGAAAAACAAACAAAGAGAAGAGGGTAGGCCTATGATCTTGGAATGGGTTACCTACAGATGCAAGCAAGAGACATCAAAACACGAGACATTCTTCGGAATAGATACCCAGTTCAAAGGAAGCATTTTATTCAAGCCTGATGTCATAAAAACTCAAGAATGAGTGTCCTGAATCCGACTGATCTGTTGCTCCTACAGTTTTCCTAGATGCATCCCATTCTTCAAGAACACACCAGAAAACTGGCTTATCCTATTGGGATGTCCACCTCATAGAAAGTCTGGCAACAGGCAGGTATTAGGGACATACAGTATGGTCCTTCAGCTGTTCTTAGCGCCCATCCAGACAGTACCTTTATCCCAGGAGCTTCCGCAGCAAACAGGAGAGTGGCCAGATGCTGTTCCCTGTAAATGCGGAAGCAATTGCTACAAAAGGCAAAAAAATGCGAGATTTCCAGGTGCAGGAATATCACGGTTTTGATCTGAATATGCGGATCTTTGCATGTCTGTAAGTCCCTCCAATCGGCACTTTTAATCTGGGTTTGTTCCTGGGTTTTAGATGATTATTTTTGATTGGTCGGTTTTTAGAAAGAAGATGACACTTGAGTAGAAGGCAAGTACTTTGTTTGTTTGAAACATGAAACATGTGGAGGGCACATTTTCTCTGGCCAGGACAAAGTTGTGGCCCCTTAGTCAATGTTGTACATCCTTTCACAAGAAGGGCAATCAGGAACCAACATGTATAACCCAGGAATAGCACCCTGTTGTTCGATACCACAAGTACACAACCAAATCTGTCTAGACAGATGTCCAGACAACCACGCTCTAAAAGTGTCAATAATGACAAAGTTCTGTTCCTGGTTTGAAAGTGTGTGTTCCTGTTTGATTGTGCAGTTCTGCCTTGGGCAGAAGTGGTCCTACCCCGAAAACTTTGTTTGTGTGGCAGATACTTCATGAAACGTGTGGATGGCACATTTTCTTTGGCCAGGAGAATGTTGTGGCCCCCTATTCAACGTGTACATCTTTTCACAAAAAGGGCAATCAGGAACCGACATGTATAACCCAAGAATAGCACCCTGTTGTTTGATACCACAAGTACACAACCAAATCTGTCTAGACAGATGGCCAGACAACCACACTCTAAAAATGTCAATAATGACAAAGTTCTGTTCCTGGCTTGAAAGTGTGTGTTCCTGTTCGATTGTGCAGTGCAGATTTGTGCCGAAATGGTCCTACCCCGTAAACTTTGTTTGTGTGGCAGATACTTCATGAAACATCTGGAGGACACAGTTCTCTGGCCAGGACAAAGAATGGAACTTTTGCAATGATTCGCTGCAGTGATTCTCTGCATATCCGCATCTTGAGGGTTTTTTAAAAAAAACACCAAAGTTTCTGGCGGAAGTCCCATGATGGCCATCTTGGGAGCCTCTAAATCTTGCAACGAAGCATCAAGTCTGGACAACAGAAGCAGAAATTCCAGGACCAACAGGTCTTTATGTGGACCTCTTCTGAAGTCCTGGGATGTTTTGCCCCTGTTTAAAACTTTAGTGCTGTCTGGAAGTGCCCTTAGACAGCAACTCCCATCAATCTTAGCCAGCATAGTGACTGGTGAAGGACAACAGACAACTACATCTGGATAGTCACGCGTGCTCCAGAGCTTCCACAAAGCAAGATCTAACATGCCTATGGAAAAAACAGAGACCAGAAAAATAATTGTAGCACATTCTCAGCTGCTGTATCTGACTCTTGGTTGCCTTTATAATGTGTGTGTGTGTTTGTGTGTGTGTGCATGCATGTACGTGCCTGATGTCAAAGGCAGCGAGGGGATAGAAAATGTCTTATTTTGGTACAGTGCAACTCATTCTCTCACTCCTGATCCAATGATATTTCTATTCTGCCTAAGCAACCTGGTTGCCTGCTGCAGGCTTAGCATCTAATCTATTCTTCCAATAGGACGGGAGAGGAGGGGGCAAGAAGACAACATGGGCTCAGATCAAGGTTGGACAACTTCTTCTTCTTCTATTAAGCATTTTCCAATGCAATAAAAAGGTCAAAAAATATACAGAAAGAACAAACAGGAAAAACAAAGAAAAGATAATCAAGAAAAAAATAGGAATAGTGAAAAATATTAAGACGGAAATGTATTTCCAACTTTTCAAACAAAGTTATATATCATTTCTTTTCTAATTATGACTACTATTCATATATTTCTTCTGCTTTACCAAATCTACTAATTATAAAAGCTCATAATTAAGATGTTAAATGTTTTTTGTAAAATGCCAATTAAAGATTACCAATCTTTCAAAAATTTCACCAGTTATTTACTCTGATCAATGTCATTTATTTGTCCATTTTAATGAATCTGCCACTCTAAGCAGCCAGTCCTCATTCATTCTTATTGCTGTATTTTTCCACTTCTCGGCATACAATAATCTTGCTGCAGTGTTCACATATTGGAATAATTTTCCATACTTTTCCTCCATTTGATCATGCATCAGACACAGCAGAAAGAGTCAAAGGCTTCATCCCATGGGATAATTAAAAGGTTTGAGATTGTTGGTTTCCCTTTAAGCTTCGCAATGCCGGGTTTGGAAATTAATTTTTGTACCCCCATCATACCTCCTCCTTTCCTCCACTTTCTTTAAATTAAGATTTATCAGTTTGATTTGTCATCACACGGTAGAAGATTTGTTTCCTCCCATTGTAGGATTTTGATTACATATTTTGCTTTTATAAAAACATCATCTCGGATCATAGAAAGTGCTTTTGAATTAACCCTGATGCTTCAGCAAGCTTCTGAATTGGTGATGGTAGGAAGTGGACACTTCTATGGGCTGCTTTCCTTCCCAGGTCCCAGTATTATGATATTTTTATGGAATGCTTTCCTTCCTTGTGGGGTGGCTCGCCTTCCCTTGTGGTGCTCGGACCCTCTTGAGCTCTCCTCCTTAAGGGGGGGAGAGGTCTTTGGGGTTTTCAAGCCCACCTTGGGATTCGGGACACCTTTGCGCTCGATCCGGCAAAGGGGGGAGCTTTAGAAGCTCAACCTAGCCACCACTACACAGGTCCTCGTCAGGAGCTCGCTCTTAACGAGGCTTCCCCGTCGCCATGTCCACCGGAAGTCCCCCCAGTCCTAGTCTTAAGACACTTCTATGGGTGCCTTCCTTCCCAGGTCCCGGTCTTAAGACAGTTCTATGGGATGCATTCCTTCCCAGGCCCCTGTCTTAAGACATCTCTATGGAATGCTTTCCTTCCTAGTCCTGGTCTTAAGACACTTCTATGGGCTGCCTTCTTTCCCATTGTCCCGATCTTAAGATGCTTCTATGGGGTGCCTTCTTTCCCAGGTCCTGGTCTTAAGACATTTCTATGGATTGCTTTCCTTCCCAGGTCCCAGTCTTAAGACACTTCTATGGGACCTTCCTTCATAGGTCCCAGCCTTAAGTCATTTTTATGGGATGCATTCCTTCTCAGGTCCCTGTCTTAAGACATCTTCTATGGAATGCTTTCCTTCCTAGTCCTGGTCTTAAGACACTTCTATGGGATGCTTTCCTTCCCAGCTCCAAGTCTTAAGACATTTCTGTGGGCTTCCTTCCTTCCTTCCCAGGTCCTGATCTTAAGACATTTCTATGGAATGCTTTCCTACCCAGGTCCCAGTCTTAAGACATTTCTATGGAACACTTTACTTAATGGGATTAAGACATTTCTATGGAATGCTTTCCTTTCCAAGTCCCAGTGTTAAGACATCTCTCTGGAATGTTTTCCTTCCCAGGTCCCTGTCTTATGACATTTCTATGAGCTGCCTTCCTAATTGAGAGAGAAGTCTATTGCCAATCGATTTAGGAATCGTCAGAGAAACCCACACTTTAAAAACTGTGAAATACCTGGAACCCAGAGTTGAAGTTTGTGTCATGTTATGGGTTCTGTGGGTTGCCGATTCTTAAATGTGTAGAAACACTGATTTTATTGCTTGGGATGGAAGTCTCAGGCTTCACTTGAATATCCTCTGTCAAATTTCATGTGAATCAAAGTTGAATCAAAAATGGTTGGCTATCCCAAATTTCCACCATATACAATACTAAGATCCCACCTGATGCTCACATTTCCGACATACATTAGAAACAAGAATCGAACAGGAACTCACACTTTCAAGCCAGGACAACTTTTCTTATGTCAAATACCAACAATACATCATAAAATGTCTCCTTAAGATTATAATGTAAATTTCAATTTCCTCAACTGCTTTTTCAGGTCGGGCATCTTCTGAAGACCCGAGGTCCTCAATGCCTCAACCCGCAATGATTCTCTTTGAGGTTCACAACATCATTAAAACAGAAATGTGCCCCTTATCCTCAGCCCAGGTCTCGAAAGCAGGTTTCAGAAATGAATTGCCTGACTAAAATTCTCCTTTCTCGCCTCAAACAGGCCTTTTGTCAGAGACGAAATTGCATTTAAATTGGGAATTCTGGGACTTGATCCTCAAGAAATACTTTTTAAAGCTCTGGATAAGATTATGCCTGATCCAGATGAAAGGAAAGCAGTGATATGCTGCATATCTGAGGATCTTGATTTCCTGAGTAATGGGGGAACTTCATAGTTCCCCAGCAGACGAACAAAAAGATAGCAGGATTTAGTGTAGTTTCCAGACTGTGAAGGTCTCAGAGTTTCTGTGGTGATAGACTTCCACCAGCAGCATGAATTTAAAAGGTGGGGGTGAGCACCTTGTGATGCTATAAGCCAGAATTGGATACAGGAATTTGGGAACCTCTCTGATCTTATACTAGCTGAAATTGTCTTCCTTACAAACCAATTTTGGGATTAAGGAAAAAAGAAATGGAGCTGACTCAGGTCTGAGCACATTGAGTCGAGAAGAGGACTGTTTCTGAAATGGATGGGAAAAATAAAGAACTCACTCAACACAGTAAGCTTAGCCCGTTGGGATCGCAGTGCTGCCTGTGTGGCTTGGCATTCATAAACGGCATCATCATCCAGCTCCGCATAGTCTATCCGCAGGTTATGCTGTCCAGCAGAAGCATCACCAACAATGGAATATCGGGACCAACCTGTGGTGAAGAAGGGGTGAGGTATACTATGAACATATTCGACGTATCAATTGCAATCTCAACACATTACAGGAAGTTGCTTCCAACTGTGAGATAAATAAGGTTGAACACTGTGAAAGCCATCCACTGCATGGCTATCAACCTCCTCCCGGTAGACTCAAATCAAGGAAAAGCTTCATGAAAACCACCGCTCCTCTTAATGTTCCCCCAGCAACAGCAATAGCATCCCTCTGGGCAGCTAAACCAGGAAATCCCAATAGGATGGCCCCCCACAAGGGTCTTCCTCCAGGGGCAAACCAAGAATGGCCAACTTGGAAGTCCCTGAACACTCAGAAGTGGAGTTGGAAGATCAAAAGACAATCTGGCAAAATGGCATTATCTAGAAGAATCCTCCACTTTGAGCGACTATGGAGCAGAACAAACAACTCTGCATCTGTATGCTTGCCCTCAATGCCCTGCCTCATGCACAGAGGAAGAAAGCTACAGACAATGCAGTTGCTGTTGCCTGTTTTGAGTCTAAAATTATTTAGTCACTTGTGTTCCCTCTATTTTATCAGTTTTATATTAATTTATTTATGCAATGCTTTTGGCACAAAATAAACCATGCAACATAAATCAACTGATTTGGGAATTCAAAAGCCTACAGAAGCCTCAATATGGGCATTGGTGAAGTAAAATTATAGGATGTATATTGCAAAACGCCTTGGGAGAGAGGCAAAAAGTAACTATTGGTTTCAGGAAAGAGATAACAAAAACCATACAGGCAGTCCCCGAGTTACAAACATCCAATTTATAAATGACTTCTAATTAAGAATGGGGGTGAAACACCAGGAAGTGAGAGAAATTTACCCCTCAGAAGGGAAATTCACTCCTGAAAGAGTTATCAAGGGGAAAAGGTGTCTCAACTGAAGTTTTATCACCAATCCTCATTTCCACAACAAGTTAAATTGCTCAAAATCCAATTGTAACAGGGACAGAAAGCGAGATGAAATCTTCTGAACAGGGGCACAGACAGCACAGACCAGGCTCTAGCACAGCTGGTAAATCACCAGCAGCAATAAAATCTTACCAACCGAAAGGTTGCCAGTTTGAAGCCCAGGTCGGGACGAGCACCTGACTGTCAGCCCACCTTACTGTTCACCTAAGCAGTTTGAAAACAGCTTGAGAGCTGTAAGTAGAGAAATTAGGTACTGCTTAAAGCAGGGGAGGTATTTTACGGCACCATAAAGCGAAATACCAGAAATGCTGGTGACCAAAAGGAAGTCTGTGATGGCTCTTTGTCATTGAGGATGGAGTGACAGCATCCCCCTGTGGCTGGAATCAAGCACAACCTCCAGGGAGCCTAAGTTGGATGCCGACACAACATACCTCTGTCTGTCTGTTTGTTCTGTCTGAATATAAATAAAGGTTGTTGTTGTTGTTGTTGTTGTTGTTGTTATTATTATTATTATTATTATTATTATTATTATTATTGCAAACACCACAGGGGTGATAACTCTTTCCTACACTAGCCAGAGCTTGCATCTCTCTCTCTCTCTCTCTCTCTCTCTCTATCTATCTATCTATCTGGAGTTACATTTAAAAATGTACCTGTTTTGTACAAATTCGACTTAAGAAAAAACCTACAGAACCCATCTTGTTCGTAATTTGGGGACTGCCTGTACTGGGTCACTACAGTAACTACTTAGTACCACAACATTGCAGATATCAGTGCTCTATGAGATCCACAGCCCATGGCCCTCCCTTCCTCAAACCACGATGAACATACCAGGCAGGTCTCTTTCTCCCCCCAGCGCGAGGCCATCCTTGGTCCACTGAACCATACCGCGGTAGCCCATAACCACACAGGCCAGTGTCACCGACTGCCCAGACACGATCACTTGGTCCATGGGCTGCTGGAAGAAATATGCCGCCAAACCTGAGAAGAAAACACATATATCAAGATGGCGGGGTTAAAGATATGAATAATGACATATTGCCTGTGGCTCTTTTTGGATGCAGTTTCAAAGAAATATGCAAGAACTGACTTTCTGTTTCAGACCAATCTAAATAATCATTTTACTCCTAACAATAGCCAGTCAAATGCTTTTAAAAATGTGGAGGAAGGCTATGCTGCTGACATCTTGTCATCCCTGCCTACTATGTTGAGGAAAACTGTCCCCATGCATCGGCAAGTGCTAGAAGAGAGCCACACCATCCTGCACAAGGCTCCAGTGGGTTGGACTCAATTTTGCTCCATTAAATTTGGGAGCAAAAAACAGATTTACTCCAAAAATACTCCACTGCAAGCTTCTCCAAAGTTTCTTGTGCAGAAGTTTCAAGATGTTTCATGTTGGTGACATACCTTTTTTTATACATGCATCATTCTGTGATACAGAAATTGAGTTTTACTAGCTAACTGGAACTTTTTTTTCATGTCAGGAGCAACTTGAGAAACTGCAAGTTGCTTCTGGTGTGAGAGAATTGGCAGTCTGCAAGGACGTTGCCCAGGGGATGCCCGGATGTTTTACCATCCTGTGGGAGGCTTCTCTCATGTTCCTGCATGAGAAGCGGGAGCTGACAAACGGGAGCTCACCCTTCTCCCCAGATTCGAACCACCAACCTTTCAGTCAGCAGTCCTGCTGGCACAAAGGTTTAACCCATTGTGCCAGCGGAGGCTCCAAATCAACTCATTATAAGAGACACAGACACATATGTACATTGCAATAACAAAATAGATGGAGACACAGCATATCTCATGAATATATCTATATAAATAAAAATGTAATGTTCATTTGTGGGATTAACATAACTCAAAAACCACTCGACTAATTGCCGCCAAATTTGGATACAAGACCCAAGGAGTGACCATTACTCAAAAAAATGAATTTTGTCATTTGGGAGTTGTGGTTGCTGGGATTTATAGTTCACCTACAATCAAAGAGCATTCTGAACTCCACCAACGATGCTATTTGAATCAAACTTGGCACACAGAACTCCCATGACCAACAGATAATACTTAAGGCCATCCAGTCCAACTCCACGAGGGCAAGAAAACATAATCAAAGCCCTCCTGATAAAGAGCCATCTAACCATAGATATAGATAGATATATATGATTCATACACACAGAGAGATATAGTATCATAGATGTGAAAGAGACCCCTAAAGAAGGACAATTATATGTTGCATGTTCCAGGGTAGGCAGACCAGACAATCTCCACATCAACACTGACAAAGAAACAGCAAGAAATCCTGTTTACCCACAAGCATAAAGGAATTATATATATTAGAAACAAACACTTTCTCATTACTTTATATTCCAGATCACCAGAGTGGGCCACAGCAATGCGTGGCAGGGGACGGCTAGCATATATATATATATATATATATATATATATATATATATATATATATATATGATTTATTGCTTATTTCACATAGACTCAGAGGATTCTCATTATGCTTGTGTGACACACCTACACACTTCAGCCAGCACATTTACATGTCACGACACAGTTTGGAAAGCTCTGTTCTAGTGAGTATTATTGGCCATTTTAAAGCATTTGTGGTTTTTCATGCTCCTCTCGCCTTTTACAATCCTAGATAGTTCCCAATGCAAAAGGAATTGAGGAAAAAAAATCTCATCTGTCTCTAAACTGTTGAGTCTGTTCAACTGTCCCTTTACTCACTGCAGGGCACTGCTAGATAATTTGGGTGCAATTCTTAAATCTAAATTTGGAGAATAGAGAATGCAGGAACTGAGTGGATCCCCAAAATAGCATGCAGCCAGTCAGACACATTTGCCTCACCTGTGCTATTCAGGGAGGATTTAGTTTTGGAAACATGTTTTCTTGTACTAAAACTCACAGACTCTTGTAGTTGTTGTCTAAAAAAGCAACTTCCCTAAGTTCTGTATACATTTCTGAAGCAATAAGCCCCCTTTCTGTGTGTTGTCAACGTTGATATGAGTGTATGCTCATGCATCTTTCTGTATGTGCATTGGGTGCAGATTAAGAGTCAAAAATTGCATACTCCAATTGCATTCTGAATTGTCTCAGTCTCCTCAGCCTGGGAAGGGCTGTGAATGAAATACCCCTTTTGAAACCCCAGAGAGGCACTGCCAGTCATGCTAAGCTAGATTGCACTAATGATCCGACTTAGTGTAAGGCAGCTTCCTTTGTTCCTGTCAGATATATTGGGCCATAGCTCAGTGGGAAAGCACATGCTTTGTATGCAAAAGATTCCAGGTTTGCTGGAGGAGGCTGGGAAAGTCTTGCCCGAAACCCTGGGCAACCATTCCCAGTCATTGGAGCAAATTGAGAATGGAGAATATGTGGCCCTCTACATATTTTGGATTGCAACTCCCATAATCCCTTATGATTCACAAGGGCTGCAGGACAAAACTTCTAGAGCAGTGTTTCTCAAGTTTCCTAATGCAGCGACCCCTTAATACAGTTCCTAATGTTGTGGTGACCCCAACCATAACATTATTTTCATTGCTACTTCATAACTGTAATTTTGCTACTGTTATGAATAGTCATGTAAATATCTGATATGCAGGATGTATTTGCATTCATTGGACCAAACTTGGCATGGATACTCAATATGCCCAAATGTGAACACTGGTGGACTTTGGAGAAAATAGACCTTGACATTTGGAAGTTGTAGTGGCTGGGATTTATAGTTCTCCTACAATCAAAGAGCATTCTGAACTCCACCAATGATGGAATTGAATGAAACTTGGTACACAGAACTCCCATGACCAACAGAAAATACTGGGAGAGTTTGGTGGGCATTGACCTTGAGTTTTGGAATTGTAGTTCACCTACATCCAGGGAGCACTGTGGACTCAAATAATGATGGATCTGGAGTAAACTTGGCAAGGATACTCAATATGCCAAAATGTGAACACTGGTGGATTTCGGGGAAAATAGACCTTGACATTTGGGGGTTGTAGTTGCTGGGATTTATAGTTCACCTACAATTCTGAATCCCACCAATGATAGAATTGGCCCAAACTTCCCACACAGAACCCCCAAGTCTTGAATGGAACTGCTGTTGCGAGCCTCCCTCCAGTCTTACATGCTCTCCCTTGCCCGCACATGTAAATCACGCTGCCATGCACCAAGCACGCCTGCTCTCCCCTCCCTGCTTGGAGGCTAAGAAACAGCTCTCTCCTTGGCTGAGAGGCCAGCCAATCACAGTGAAGGAGGGCTTTTGATGGGAGGATTCAACTCTGTTTCCAAAAAAGGAAGCAAAGGACAGGCAGAGAGATCTTCAGCCTTCTCTGCCAAAGGGGTTCCTAAGACCATCAGAAATATATGCTTTCCGATGGTCTTTGGCTACCCCTCTGAAACCCACTTGCAACCACCCTAGGGTTCCCAACCCCCAGATTGAGAAATGCTGTTCTAGAGCAACAAAAAGTTCCCAGCCGTAGAGCAAATATTGCACTGTTAGATAGACCAATGTATCTGACCTAGTGGTTTTCCTTGTGCAACTGCCATGGTTCACCTCCAAATTGCTCAGTTATAGAAGGAAGACAGAATGCTTGCACAGTGTCTTTTGAATGCTAGCGCTAGGAGGCATCCATCTGAAGCACCTGCAATATAAGGCAGCATGCTGAATTCTTCCTAACTTCCTACTTCCTCATATGGCTGTTTGTGTAGACAAGGTTGAAATGTGTAGCTGACACTCCACCTTCTTGCGCTTGCGATGTGGCTCTGTGACAGTTCATCCACCAACACACACACACACACAGAAAAACACCTCTCGCTCAGCTGAGGAAAAGTGCCCATATTCCCAGAGCGTTTCCCCATCTGTCACTAGTTTTGTGGTGCAATTCTATGCATTCCTACTCAGAAATACCACTTAATGCATTCAGCTAGACTTACTCGTAGGTAAGTGCATCTCTGCTGTAGTCTCCCTCTCCCCGACTTTTCCTTTTGTGCAAAAAGTGGAAAGCAGAGAAATGTGGGGTAGGGGGAGGAGCAGAGTGTGTTTTAATTTTATTTTGAGGCAATGCAGTTGCCCCCGGGTCCCTGGCATTGCCTTATCTCCCCTCCACAGACTGCTGAGGTGCCGGTTTGGTGTGCTCTGCACATGCCCTTCAGCCAAGAAAGACTCTGTTTCCGCTCCCTGCCGCCTCGATCTTACCACTTTCTTCTACTCCCTTTCTCCCACTCCCCCTGGGGCTCGAGGCAAATTGCATTAAAGGAAACTTTAGAGATACTCTTTCGAGTGTACACATATATAAACACACAAATAAATTAGCATTTCACTAAAATATTAGCCCTCTTAATCCCTCCCTTTGGTTTGAAGTAAAAAAAGAGAGATTGTGGGTCAGCGCATAAAGGAGAAGGCCTTAGAGGCTGGCAGAAGGAACAACGCACGAGAAGGAATCAGTATAGCCAATTGCATTGATTTTATTATTTCATTTAGTAGAGGTTTTTTTTGTACCGCACCTTCAATAAAGCGCCCCAGGCGAGACAGGATGGTTGCTTCACACAGCTGTACTCTGAAATTGCAACATGTTCCTGTACTGACAACTGTTACATTTCAAAAGGGGATATTAGCACAAATGTGTTTCAAGCTTTGTACATGCGCCTGGGGAGCTGTGGCCAATCGTGGCTCCCTGTTGCATGCGCAGAAAACAGAGCAGGTTTGTAATGCGGTTGTAGAATACAGCTTGGAAAAGTTAGTTTTTGGGATGACCATTTCTAGGATCACCTGAGGGATTTGGAGGGAGTTGTTATATAAAAAAAATCCCTAAATTTTCTAAGTGGGCTTCAGAGACCATCCATACTGAGGTGTTTACTCAGTCCATGTGGAATCAGACTGTGATGATATAGTGGAGCCAAGCCATGGGGAGCCCCCAGTGGCGTAATGGGTTAAACCCATGTGCTGGTAGGACTGCTGATCAACAGGTCAGTGGTTAGAA